CGTGCAGCGGCCGTACCTACATCAAGGGCCGCTTGTTGGGCAAGGTAGATCACGGGGGCTTTGGGGTGGCGCTGACGGAGGTGGAGGGGAGCCCTCCGGGCCCGACCCTGTCTCTCCGGGAGCTCCCGGACCGACGCATCCTCCTCCTCCTCCCCCTAGGGGGGCTTCGCCCGCTGCTATGAAGCCACTGACACCGAGACCGGTGTAGCCTACGCGGTCAAAATCATCCCGCAGAGCCGCGTGGCCAAGCCGCATCAGCGCGAGAAGGTGGGTCCAGGCCCTGAGGACCAGGGGTAGGGAGGGGATGGTGGCGTGTGAACCCTGGAAGGATGATGATCTCGCGCTCTCGTCGCAGATCCTAAACGAGATCGAGTTGCACCGAGACCTACAGCACCGCCATATCGTTCGCTTTTCGCACCATTTCGAGGATGCTGACAACATATACATTTTCTTGGAGCTCTGTAGCCGAAAGGTCCGGAGTAGAGGGGATTCACCGGGAACAGGGGTGGGAAAGGAAGTGGCTCCTAATATCCAAAGCTGGGTTCCTGTCACCCTTAAGCAAGCACAGATGGAGGGCGGGTCTGGGAAGGCAAGCAGGGGCTGAAACAGTGGCTTTCTGCAGTCCCTGGCCCACATCTGGAAGGCCCGGCACACCCTGTTGGAGCCAGAGGTTCGCTACTACCTGCGCCAGATCCTTTCAGGCCTCAAGTACTTGCACCAGAGGGGTATCTTGCACAGAGACCTCAAGCTGGGTGAGATTCCTGGGTCTGGGTGGAAGGTGTGGGGGGTATGGGGAGGGAAGAGAGGGAGTGAAGAGTCTGACACTTCTCTCTGCAACTATCTAGGAAATTTTTTCATCACGGATAACATGGAGCTGAAGGTGGGGGATTTTGGGCTGGCATCTCGGTTAGAGCCCCCTGAGCAGAGAAAAAAGTGAGTGAGGGGATGATGGCCGCGGTCTGTATGTGACACAGATGATGTGCGGTGTGACAGTGTGACAGTGTGCGTGTGGACAGCAAGGTGACATGATGTATGCTTGGGATAAACAGGGCTGGGGTGACCGGCTGTCTGTATGTGTGAAGGTAAAGGTGGCATCCTAGGGCAGCCTTATGAATGTGTGGCCCAGATGGACGAGGACTTGCGTCCCTGACACAGATGGGAGTCTAAGGATTTTTGGAAAATGTATGGCTGATCCTGTGTTGGGTGGGGAAAACAAGCCAGGCTGTGAGCATATGTATATAAGACAGACTGAGTGTGGGAATCACAGGATGTGATACCCTGTGTGTCTAAGAAGACCCCTGTGACAGGCTGTCTGTAACACAGATCGCATGTGTGGCAGGTGAGTGTTTTTGGAGGGTATGACAGCTGGTGTTGGTTGTGTGCAGCACAGACCGTGGGAGGTGACAGCCTAATGTGTACTTGACAGAAGGGCGTGGGGGAAGGGACCAGTCATGGACCCTCTGTATTGACCTTGGGAGAGTAGGCTGTGATGGGGTCAGGGCCTCCTCCTGTCCTGCAGAGCAGCTGAGCAGCTGGACTAGACTGGACTCAGCTGCCATTCTCAGCATCCATTGTCCCAAGACAAGCAGGAGCTCTCTGGCCTTTGGTGACAGGCAGCTGCTTTGTCTGAACTCAGCAGGGGCAGGAATGGGGGCGGGTGTTGGGCTGGGTCTGAGCCTTCCCCTCTCCACCCTACCCTCTTTCAGGACCATCTGTGGCACTCCCAACTATGTGGCCCCAGAAGTGCTGCTGAGACAAGGCCATGGCCCCGAGGCAGACGTGTGGTCACTTGGTTGTGTCATGTGAGTGCCAAAGTCATTGGCAGACTGGTGGTAGATGCATGGATGGGGTGTTCCCACTACTTGACGTCTGATCTCCCATTCCTGGGCACAGGTACACACTCCTATGTGGGAGGCCCCCATTTGAGACAGCTGACCTGAAGGAAACATACCGCTGCATCAAGCAGGTTCATTACACGCTGCCTGCCAGCCTCTCACTGCCAGCCCGTCAGCTCCTGGCTGCCATCCTTCGGGCTTCACCCCAAGACCGCCCCTCTATTGAACAGATCCTGCGCCATGACTTCTTTACAAAGGTCTGTGGTTCTCCAGATAGCACGGTTCCGTCTGCATGACCTCAAAGGATAAATGGGAGCAGGACCCTTGGGGGTCTCACTTCTCTGTTTGCATGGCTTTCTTCCTCAGGGCTACACCCCTGATCGGCTCCCTGTCAACAGCTGTGTGACAGTCCCAGATCTGACACCCCCCAACCCGGCAAGGAGTCTGTTTGCCAAAGTTACCAAGAGCCTGTTTGGCAGGAAAAAGAACAAGAGTGAGTCAGGTGTCAGTGGGTTGAGGGTATAGGGCAGTAGAATGTTGGAGTGGCTTGTTATATTTGTTTGAGTCAGTGGTACCAGGTGAGGGTGCCTGTAGACTCTTGGGGAGAACATGTGTTGTCTAGGCACTTGGGAAGACCTGCCTGTATGAACACTTTAGGAAATGTGGTCAGGCAGGACACTGAGGGCTGTATTCTCCCTCACCACCAGATAAGAACCATTCTGAGGAACGGGATAATGTCTCCTGCTTGGTGAGCGGCCTGATGCGCACATCCATCGGTCATCCAGATGTCAGGCCTGAGGTGAGGTGCTCACGTGAGCATTATTCCCCTGACTCACCCTGACCCTAGCAGCTGAGGGAAGCCCAGCATTAAAAGGCTGATGAAGCATCCAACCTCGTGGTGGCCTAATTGGCTGTGTCTCATTAGCCAGCTGAGGGTGACCTGGGGTGCCCTGAGAGCCATCAGGGACAGGGCTGGCCCATCAGACTTTCAAGGATTTGGATTCTGGGTCCTAATAGCACTCCCTCTCTGCTCAACTGTCCAGGCTCCAGCAGCTGCAGGTCTGGCCCCTGTCAGCTTGGTAGAAACAGCTGCTGAGGACAGCTCACCCCGTGGGACACTGGCAAGCAGTGGAGATGGTGAGGAGCCAGAAGATGAGAGGTGCTGGAGGTGGCTGGGGTGGAGACCAGGGGCCAGAAGGAAGTAGCTGGCCGAGGGACATGACCTGGGCCCAAGGAGGCTGTTTGTTGGCTGAATGTCAGTGCCCTCTGTTCCCTCAGGATTTGAAGAAGGTTTGACTGTGGCCACAGTGGTAGAGTCTGCCCTCTGTGCACTGAGGAACTGTGTGGCCTTCATGCCCCCAGGTAAGGCTGGGCTCTGGTACATGTGAATAGTTTGGCAAGTTCTTTTTGACCTAGAGGCCAGGGGAATGTTTTCACTCCCTCCTCTCCCGTAACAGCGGAACAGAACCCAGCTCCTCTAGCACAGCCAGAGCCTCTGGTGTGGGTCAGCAAGTGGGTTGACTACTCCAACAAGTTTGGCTTTGGGTATCAGCTGTCCAGCCGCCGTGTAGCCGTGCTCTTCAACGATGGCACACACATGGCCCTGTCAGCCAATAGAAAGTAAGTGCTATGCTGGGGTGCTTTGTATTTAGTCTATTGTACCAAGCAGGGTTGCACCTTGGTGTGTGTTTCTGTGTTCAGGGGTCTGGGGGTTTCAAGTCCAAATGGGAGGAACGATAATACCAGGCTCCTCTCTGCATCTGCACTTTCAGGATTGTACACTACAACCCCACCAGCACGAAGCACTTCTCCTTCTCTGTGGGTTCTGTACCTCGTGCTCTGCAGCCTCAGCTGGGCATCCTGCGGTATTTCGCCTCCTACATGGAGCAGCACCTCATGAAGGTGTGTGGGCTGCTGTGGGGGCCTGGAGGGGGGCTAATGCATCTTGATTTCTTCTGGTTCTCCACTGTTGGGGATGGGGAAAGGGATGGCTCAAAGATAGTGGCTGATCATGTAAGGGCAGGAGACATCCATAGGGAGAGACCCAGCCCATGCCAGTCTAGTGACCTGACCTGCCTGTTCTCTCAGGGCGGAGACCTGCCCAGTGTGGAAGAGGTAGAGGTGCCTGCCCCGCCCTTGTTGTTGCAGTGGGTCAAGACTGATCAGGCCCTACTCATGCTGTTTAGTGATGGCACTGTGCAGGTAAGAGCCCATCCTGGAGTTGGAGGGAAGGTCCGGTAGGCCCAGGGTTCTGGGAAGGTATATGGGTCTGGTGTCCCAGCCCTGAACACTGTTACCTTCTGTGCACAGGTGAACTTCTATGGGGACCACACAAAGTTGATCCTCAGTGGCTGGGAGCCTCTCCTTGTGACTTTTGTGGCTCGAAACCGCAGTGCTTGTACTTACCTCGCTTCCCACCTCCGGCAGCTGGGCTGCTCCCCGGACCTGCGGCAGCGACTGCGCTACGCACTGCACCTGCTCAGGGATCGGAATCCTGCTTAGGTTCTAACCTGCAGAGCAGGCTGTGATCCAGACCCCAAGCCTGTGCCTGAAAGGCTCTGGCCCTTGCCTTTGTGGCCCCTCCTGTCCCTTTGGTGCCTCTCTGGGGGATCTGGGCTGAATCCCCCAGGCAATCAGGGACCAGCTTTACTACAGTTGGGGATGGCCTGCCCTTCCTGTCTCTTCCCCCTTCTCCCTGAGATAAGCCTGAGCCTTAGCTCCCAGTTAGGGGGCATTATTTATGGACCACTTTTATTTATTAACAGACATTTATTTATTGGGATGTGAGCCCCAGGGGGGCCTCCTCCTGGGATAATAAACTGTTTTTCAGAACTTGAAGGGCTTGTCATTCCCAGTAGACCGCGTGGACAGTAGCCACGGCAAACAGTGAAGTGTTGGTGAAGGTAGCAGAGGCCAATCCATCGTGCACAGCATCCCACAGTGCGCGGCTGACCACGTGCACGCCCTGTTTCTCGCGTGGCCCCAGCACCACACTGCATACCAGTTTGTAGCGGGGTAGGCAGAGCTCCCGCACACGCATGCGTATCTGTTCACACAGCGCCTGTGCCAGTTTCCCCGCCTCACTACCTGAGTAGCACACATTGCTCAGCCCTGCGTGCAGTGCTGCCTCCAGGACACACTGAGCGCTTGCAGCTTCCCAGCGCTCCCCCGGCGCTGGTTCTGTGCGGTATGAGGGTGCCATCCTACGGGCAGGCACCAGAGGTAGCCCAGAAAAGCTAACTCGTGAACCAAAAGGGGGCATTGGGCCCAGGGATGGTCGTCGACCTCCAGTACCTACTAGGGGTCCTGCCAGTGAGTTGCGGCGTGAAAAGGATGGGTGTAGGCTCAGCAGGGAGCCACGACGGGAGGCTGGGCCTGGGCCTACAGGTCGGGTCTCATCAATGCTGGGCAGGTGACCTCCAGACTTCCCTGGTGGTAATTTCAGAGCCAGGTCTTTGGTAGTCTCCTCTTCCTGGCGACCAGATAGCAGAGTCCTGCCAGCCATGGATCTGCCTGCTGGAAGATCCACACTGAGGAGTGGCTCTCACTGGCTGAGATCTCTCTACACCCAGCCTCTTGCCTAGTGATGTGTGTGTCTCTCTCTCTCTCTCTCTCTCTCTCTCTCTCTCTCTCTCTCTCTCTGTCTGTCTCTCGTGTGTGTGTGTGTGTGTGTGTGTGTGTGTGTGTGTGTGTGTGTGTGTTTGAGACAGTCTCACGTGGCCTCCAACTCTGTAACTGAGGCTGGCTTTGAACTCCATCTTCCTGCCTACAACTCCTGAGTGATGGGACCACAGAATGTGCAACCTAGGACACTAGAGGCATATATTGCCATGTCTAACTCTTCCATATCCGTTTACTTGTATCTTTGGAACAAACAGATCAAATTGGGGGTGCATGGACTGTTTAGGAAAGATTAGTAGCTTTGGAGATGTAAGCAAGGGAAAGGGTTGCTTAGTTTCTGTTCGTAGAACCTCTCTCTACCCAGAGTTCTTTTCCCTCGGTCACTGTGGAGGATGACTGGGTGAGCAGTAAATCCACTTCCTTTTTCCCCCTCCCACTTGATTTCACCAGCAAAATGGGGACATGAAGCTGGTTTCTGGGTTTCTTCAATCCATAGCCAGAAGGGACAGACCCAACTCCGTCACTCCCATAGATCTCTCTAGCCTCAGAAGTATAGGACTTACTCATCTTCCCTGCTCTAAGTAAGGTGTGACTTATACCCCCCTTGACCTGCTGCAGGCGACAAGTGAAGCAACATCCATCCTCTTCCTTAGGTCTCTCACCCCATCAGAATCATCTGTGGGATGGATGCCCTCTTCTCCTGAAACTCCCTCAGGCACCTGACTCACCTGCTGTCTTTGGCCTCCAAGTTCTGTTGGCCCCACAGTCTTTACTGAGCTTGCCTGACTGGCCTGTGGGTGGGAAGGCTTGTGTTGTGCAGTTACCATGGGGCTGCTGTGGCAAGCATACCTTTCCCTCCCAGAACTCCTCCCTCCAGCCAAACTTTGGAATAACCTAAGTGTTACTGGTCTGAGCACCTGCTGAGGGGAGGAAGGATGCCCTGAGTTGCAGGGAGGGGTCCCACAGGGGCTTGGAGTTCTAGAGCCTCTCAGATGAGAGGCGGGTGTAGAGAGGTACACTCATCAGAAATGTACTTGCTTTTGAGCCATTATTTCTTATGAAGTGGCCAGTCATCAGACCTGGCCATCTGTGAACAAGTTACAGGGGCCTGGGATATGCTAAAGCCTTAGACTATGGGGGCGGCTTCTTAGGAATCCAGCATCTGGCCTCACAGGAAAGAGTACGTCATGGTTTTACATTCTCCCATCAGCCTCAACAAGGACAAACATTTCCGCTTCAGGGCAGAGCTAGGGTGGGGCTTGGATGACTTCCTTACTTCAGAGCTGTGTGCTGAGGAGGGGAGGCCTTTGGGCTCAGTGGGAAAGACCCAGGTCTGGCATAGCCATGACTCAATGGTGAATCTAAGTCCAGTCTCTTGACTTCTGCTGACCCACTCAGAAGCCCTGGGACTTGTCTCCAACTGGCCATACTGCCTTCATGCCCCAGTATCTAGTATATAATACCTTTCTCCCTAGGACCGATTGCTTCTGAGGGATGCCAGGGGCTGTGTGCTGTTTGTTAGAACTGACACCTCACCTCTCCTACTCTGGGAGGCATGGAGTTGCTTCCCACCCCCCCAGGCAAACTAAGTCTGAGCTCTGAGAACCACACTTAGGGGTGAGAATTTTCCCTGATGAGGTGATGTCTCAGGCTTGGCTATCCCGGTTCTAAACTGAACCTATAGGGGAGGGATTAGGAAGGCAGGCAGAGGTCTTGAATTCCAAACCCAGCATAGGCAGGAGACAGCACGAGGACCCTTGAACTCTTCTTAGAGCTCTTCTACCAATGAAATATTTTACTGGGCTGATAGGGAGATGGGCGGGGCCTCCCCAGGCTCAGCTCCTGTTTCCATGGAAACCCACAGGCTTCCCACCCAGCCGCTGTCTGGGCAGGCTCCCAATCTGGGCCTCATCCACCACCAGCTTCTCCGGAATCCAAGGCTTTTCCAACCTCAGCTTCTTTGGGTCCTCTCTGTGCCTGCAGCCTTTACTGAGCTTCTTTAGGGACCTGGGCCTCTTCTTAAACTTTAGTTCCTCACAAACAGGCCTCCACAGCTTCTGCTCTTCCTCTCAGGCCTCTCTTGCCTCACTAGCTCTTGGCCTGGCTGGGCCTACTAGGCCATTCCCCACTTTGTTCTGTTGCTCATCCCACATATGGAGAACCCAGGACTGGCTGTGCATGGACAGGCTGCACCCTTTTCCACAGCACTACGAAGCCTTGTCAACAATCCCCGGTACAGGTGAGGCAGTGTCCCCCACCCCTCCCCTTAGTGGGTTTTCCCTAGCTGGCTCTCATGGGTCTATGAATTTGAGGAGGCTAAGGGTGAAGTGGCCAGGAAAGAGCACTTGGCCTCCCTGGTGAACTCAGCCTATGAGGAAGCCGAGTAGCAAGTATGTTTACTGGCCTGTGTCCATGCTATCCTGAGTCACAGGTGAGGGCAGTGGGGGATAGAGAGGAGGGCAGCTGTGTGAACTCAGACAAAGCCATTTGCTCTTTCTCTGGACAGAGGAAGGAATCCTTAATGCCCTCGGCTGTGAAAGGTGGGATTTGACTTGACTCCCTCCCTTGGGTGTTCAACTAAGTGATGGGACTTCTTTCCTTGAAGAGACAGGAACAGAGGACTCTAGGGATCCCTAAGAGGAAGAGAGCACAAAGGATTAGGTCAGAGACCCAGACAGGAAGTAGTTGAAGGTGGCTGACCTCCCACTGCTTGCCCAAGAGACTAGTGCTGTCTGAAACCAGGAATAGAGTTTGCTGGGGGCAGGGCTGGTCATGGGACACAGAATGCCATTTCCCGTCCTCACTATCTAAGAGGCTGCCTGCTCCTCCAGGGTTAGCGACTGTCATAATTCTTTTTTGAGGACAGAGTATCACAGTCTGGCCTAAAAAGTGGACCCTTAGGCCTTGAGCCAGTGAGTAGGAAGCATTGGAGGCTGAAGCTTTCTCTGCTGCCTGCCTCCCCCCTACCTTACACAGAGCTTCAGAGGCCCAGAGGCTGGGGCCGGAAGTGATCATGAAGATGGAAAATGTGGTCTCACCTCATGATGGTGTATCACTGCCATGTCTGTTTGCAGTCAATGTGCTCTGTACCGCACATCCTCACACCCTCCTACAGGAGGAAGAGCAAAGATGCTGAGTTGGCACCTCATAGAAGCAGTACCACAAGGAGTTTCCTTTCCCCCAAGACTCAGACTGGGGAAAGAGCAATCTTGCTTACACGAACCCTGGTATCCCCTGTTGTAATTTAAGAAAAGTGGCTCAAGAAAGACACCATGCAACAGAGTTCAAGCAGAGGGGTTTTTTTTATTAAGGGAAAAGGATTGTAAAAAGGAGAAAGGGAAGACTGGCCTTCAGGGACAGGAGTAGCAGGAGAGAGGAAAGAGGGGTGCAGGAGGGGGAGGGAGGGAGACAGACGGACACAGACAGGGAAAGAGAGGAGGATGGGAGGTGGCAGGGCCCTTTTAAAAGGGAACATAGTACTCTTAGTGGCTGCAGCTGAGGGTGTATCCTGTCAAAACTCCAAGGACAGGCCAGTACAGATGCCTGAATACTAACATCCCCTCTTTGAGCAAGCATAGTCAACTCCTCTGAGACCTGTGGTCATGACTGAGGAGTCTGAGAGTTAAAGATAGAGAGTCATAGGGTGGAACTGAGACTAGAGTTTAGACCTGTGGCTCCCAGACTTGGGTTTTGACTTTACATAAAAAGAAGCTAAGCCCTAGTGTGGCAGAGGCAAAATGTAATGTGGTTCAAGATTCCCTTCTCTAGCTTTCTGTCCTCTCTTCCACAGTGATGTTTGCTTTGTGGTTGGTCAAGAACGGCAAGAAGTATTTGCCCACCGGTGTTTGTTGGCCTGTAGATGCAACTTCTTCCAGAGACTTTTGGGCACAGAGCCAGGCCTTGTGGTAACTAGTCCTGTGGTGCTAAGCACTGTGCCACCCGAGGCCTTCTTAGCTGTGCTGGAGTTCCTGTATACCAACAGTGTCAAGCTGCACCGCTACTCTGTGAGCCTACCAAGCAGGGGTCAGGGTAGGAGAGGCTGGGGACTGAGAGGCAGGAGTCTGCACTTTATGCTGTGGGCTGTGGGGCAGGGGAAACTCCCTTCTACTCCCTCAACAACCACCCCTTGTGCAGGTGCTGGAGGTGCTGACAGCAGCTTTGGAATATGGGCTGGAGGAACTTCGAGAGGTAGGTGTCTCAGGCAGGCCATCTTGTTTCCCTTGCCTTTCAGTTCTTAGCCTCCTTCAGTCTGACCTTCTCACACAGACCGAAGTGTGTACACAGGATCTGCGCATGCTCAGTGTGTGCTGAGTGAGCATCCGAAGTGTTTATGGCTGGCTCTGCAGTACAAGGGCAAATTGGCTTTGGCTCCGAGGTTGGAGAGACATAAGACACTTAACATGGTGCTTTAGGCCAGTATTCCCAGAACTCTGAAGGCTGGGGAGGATGGCAAATTTAAGGCCATTTATGGAGTTATGGCTAGCCTGGGCTATGGAGACTGTTTCAAAAGTTAAACTTAAAAGTAGGGGTCTAAGTGTGATAGGCAGACTGCTGATGTAGATTCCTGGAGAAGGAAGCTTTTGTGTTAGAACTGGAAGAACAAGTAGGGTTTTGTTCAGGAGAGTGGGGAGATGGCATTATAGTCACAGGGCAATCAAGGAGCTGGCTAGATAAGTAGTGTGGTTTAACTAAGAACATGAGTGTGGGGTGAATTGGAAGGGTACCAGGAAGCTGGTTCATGCAGGTGCTTCAAGAATTTGTGCTTTAGGCTGGGAGTGCAGTTCAGTGGTAGAACACTTGGCTAGCATGCTATAGATCCTGGGTTCAACTCCTAGCACTAGCCAGGTGTGGTGGTGTATGTACCTGTATTTCCAGCACTCAGTAGGCAGAGTAGAGGGGAAGATATCCAAGCTTATGGCCAAT